ATCAAGATGTTACCGAGTAATATTTTAACATAAAAATAATTTTTATTTTTAACTCTTTAATTTTTTTTTTCAATTTCAAAATTTAAATTTATATTTTATTTGTGTCTTTTAAATTTATTTTATTTATTTAAAGTCAATTTGGGTAAAATTGCTCCTTTATAGGAACATTAAAGGTGTTTTTGCACTTCTTAGAAGTGTTACAGAGGTATGTCTGCACTTCAACATATGTGCACATTTCCACTAATAAAAATAAGTAAGATTGAATTGACTTTTTGGCTGAATTAACTGGAACTATTGCCGAGTAAAACTAAATTCACATATACATTTTTCTTTATTTTATTAATAAAATATATTTCAAACACAATTTTTCACAATTTACAAATTCAGTCATTTCACTCCGATTTTTTCCGGTTTCAACAATTTCAGCTGATTAAAAAAATATGTTTTCAAAAGTCAAATTCATCAACATATTCGTTCATTCATAATTGCAATGAGCGTAGTTTCGGATGGGTCCGAGCGAAGAAAAAAATTAATTCTAGAGAAGATTTATTTGATGCAAAACTCAAATGCGGAGTAACAAAACGAAAAATGAATACATAATTACATCTATATCTAATAGACCAGTAGACCACGAGACTTTAGCAATGTAGTAACAAAAAAATGACGCACATTCAGACTATGGGTCGAACAATTAACTAGAATGATGTAAATTGATTTTAATCACAAGTTGACCCTTAGCGAGTAATGATTTGTAGAGGCATATGCATTTTTACACAATAGACTCTCATCGTAGTTGTCGTGGTTTGATCTCAAAACTTACATTTTATGACACCCTTATTTACCCGTTGAGTTGTGCCCGCGCAATACAATAACAAAATAACATCGAACTGTATAGGCATTCGTCGGCCAAAATATGCCGTTGCGGCGAAGATATGTATAGGAATTTCAACTTTTTTAAGCATAACAGGAAATAATCGCGAGGAAAATGATTGGAAAACATTTCTTCTTGCATGTATTTTTCAAAAGTTGCTAATTTGGTCAAAAACAACCGCGGCTATTTCCACACCAGAGACGACTTGTCACTTGTGTAACTAAATAAAATAATAATTGGCAGTAATTCATCAATTACTCTCTATTTTAATGATTTCAAGACGAAATGGGTCCTGACTTGCTGCTCATTTCATGAAGTTGTTTCTCATCACTCCACCAATTTATTCCAGTCATCAAATGAACTAGGTGAGTTCCAATCCAATTTGTTGTAAACTTGTAATTATTTAATCAAACCATACCAAGAATTCTTCGCACCGATCACCTTATTGGACGACTAAGCTATGTATTGATTTTTACTCATCAAACTAATTTGTTGTTCATCCCATTCCACCAGGCCAGTATTATATTCCTCCAATCCTCCCCTTCTTATTTACAAAAGATTCCGGGATTGACACGAATTTGGCACAGATTTGTCGATGATTTCGTGTCAAACAGCTCGTGTCAAATGGTTTTTGACATGAATTCAGCATATCCCTGTCAAAATCTCTGTGAAATTTAAAAATTCCCTGCCAAAAATAGCTTGTTCTTTCTTATGATTGAATCTTGTATGTTTTTTATTGTATGATGGTGTATTTACGTTAAGTTGGAAGGTGGATCTGATGCATAAATTTAGCGTCTTTGGAAACTAAATCAACTCAATTAAATGAATGAAAAATGTAATACAAATATACATCAGTGACGACATTTGTATTTTAAATACAACTCCCGCACGGGTAGTTCAGTTGGTTGAGTGGTGAGAAACTTGGAAGAATGATCAAGGATTGAAACCCGCATCGACCGTGTAGAAGTTACAACACTTGCGTGTTGGGCTGGACCTCTGGCGCGCACGGGTATAAGGTCTACCACTATTGGACCGACTGAGTCACCGTGACTTACAACCTCCCAAAAGTCTTGTTAGGTCGGGGCGTGGAGAGCCTTGGGATTGGAGATTAACCTTTTGGAAGAATGAATACAACTCACATGGTCAGGTTGTTATTGTGCCCATTCTTAAGAAACTTGTACTTTTAGAGTTTTAGGTAAAAATTGCATCATATTCCGTATATGTTTTCAAGGGAAACGATACATCACACCATTCTCCATCAAAATGCACAGCTTTTGTTTGTTGCGCACCTACGAGTTGATGCGTATGAGAACATAGCGTTTGTATGTGGGTCAATATAAATTATAGAAATTGCACAATATAGAATCGAAACATACATAAGGTTCAGAAATATACTACGTACTAAGTTTGTTTTGTATCTCAAATAGAACTTATTTATTTTTATTGAAAAAATAAGTTATATAGAAACTTTTCAGAATATGTGTGAACAGGTTCTATCTTAGAATGAAATAACATAATGATAGTTATATACTTGTTTGATGTGGTAGTGATTTGAGTATAATAAAGTGAAACATTTTGAATCTTATACGTCTTTCCGAAAAAAGAAATATGACATTTATTTTGAAATAACTTCGAATGAAAAGTAAGACGTGTAACATAGGATGAAGGGAGTATTACGCAGAACTGTGGAACAAAAGAATAAAAATTATGCAGTAGTAAAGTACAATTGTGTTGTTACAATGGAATTTTTTGAACAAAATACATTCAAAATTGTTTGCATCGAGTTTTCATCTTTTGGAAGAGATCCATTATAGTTTTAACATTATATTCTCTCTGTTCCGCTAAGATTGTCCTTTTTTTGAGAAATCCCATCATCAAAATTGTCTCATAGCAAATTTCGTAAAGTCTATGTGGCTCTAAACTACTTTTACTTTATTATTACTTTATTAATTCACTTTTTAGTAAGGTAGTATTTCACTATCTACAATAATATATTATTTACAATTAAAATTTTATTGATTAAGTGACATTTTCTTAAAAAATAGGCTCTAATAGATGAATAACTATTTCACTAAGTCATCAATTAAATTAAATTTATGGATGTACTCTAATAACAATAATATAATTAATAACATCATAAACTTAAGTAACATACTCATTAAAAACAAGTAACAATATACGACTTTAAAGTTTAACAACTAAACAACAGAGACGCCACGTCCTGTACTAACCCAATGATGAATGTAATGTAACTCATCAGGGCAACGTCTTCTTTCCTATTCAGCCCTAAATCATCAAACTTGAACTAAATCAATCGTAAGTACAGTGTGTCCTCCGGTTTATGTGATTTCGAAATGTGAATTTAATATTTACAACTTTAAGGCGGTTGATGGATTAATGAGTTATTGGGGACAAATACTTAGATTTTAATATTTACTAATAAATTACATGGATTAGTAGAGTTTTATTTGGGACAGCTGCCCCATAGTAATGTTAGTAGATCCGCCCCTGGCCACAACACTATACACTCAAATATTCTTAGTTGAATGGTAGTAACTATCACATTTTAATTGAACTGAAATACAAATATATTCACACAAACAACTTTAACTTTCTTTCAATATACGGAGTATGATTTTGTAAGGCCATTTTACCGTGTTCTGAATCATTGTTTGATGATTTAGTAGCATTTTTGGAGTAATTACTTAAATTATATTTTAATTATTCATATTAATTAATAATTACTTAATTTTATTCATATTTTAAATTATTCATATATTTCAAATAAATAATTAAAATTATCATGAAAGAGTTAGTTTCATCACGAGCTGAGTCAACAATTAAATTGAAAGGATTGAGTTGATAATCAATCTTGTAATTAAAATGTAATTTGACACATCTCTACAGCGCTCTAATGATCGATGATTATAGGCGAGTACTCAAATTAAACAAACCGAAGTCACTGATTATGAAAAAGTAGTTTACCCAATATTTTACTTTTTTTGGATAGGCATATATATGGTCACTTAGTTATGAACCAATTGTATTTTTAACTTAATGACCCCTATTTTAGTTAAGGATTATAAAAGGAGAGTAACTGCTAAATAATACTCCCTCCTTTTCGCAAAGAAAGTCACGGTTTGACTTCTCTGGGATTAAGGAAATAAATTAACTTTACTGTAGAAAACACTATTTAGACACTGTTTGGCACTGTTTAGACACTGTTTGGCACTGTTTGGTACTGCTTTGAAGTAGATTTCTTTGTCAAATAAGGAAATAAGGGAAGTGTGCTGACTTTGTTTTTGAAACATCCAAAAAAAGAAAGTGTGACTTTGTTTGCGAAACGGAGGGAGTATAAATATGGCGGCGGAGGTTATTTTTAATTTAATGATCGCTATTTTAGTTAGGGATTATTTATAAGTACCACCTCCGAACGACTAACATTGAGACATGAATAAGTGTTGCTTGGACTGTTTTCAGTCCCAGATCAGACCAGACATAAACAGACCAGACCAGACTAGCAAATTAAAGTCCAAGTAAAAACATCCTTATTATGGAAAAGGCGTTTATGTAGTTGATATTAAATTCATCGATAAAGTAAGAATAAAACCAGAGTGATTTAGAGTCACACATATTTAATTACCAAATTTGATATGCATGAGATAATCGCAGTAGGACGGATCGAAAAGGAAAGATGAAACAATCTTAACGAGACCAATGGAGTAATTAATAGTTGTTTAAGAAAAAATGACTAATTAGATTTCCCAAATTTTAATTGAACAATAACAGAAGCACTTTTTAAAAGTTTTAAAATAAGAGAATGAAGGTGTTTGGAAAATGACATTTCAGCAAAAATAGTAATTTAACCCTATTTAACATTTTTATTACGGAGTATATGAAAATGTTGTTTGAATTGCTAAATATATTTTTGGCCCTACGTAGCTTATAGCACAACAATATATATACGGAGTATATAGGAAAATAAAAAGAATTAACTAATAATTAACTAATAATAACTCAGAAATTATAGGCCATCAAAGAATCACACGAACGGAAAATCCGTATAATCAAAGCTCATGTTCATTGTGTTGCCATTTTCAATTAATAATAAAATCATTAAAGCACATCCCTTGTGTTAAAATCATTAAAATTTTATGTTCATCATACTTAATTGGTATATGTAAGTAACATATGTTTATGTATATATGATGAAATCGTTTTGAAGTGATAAGTGTGAGAGGAATTGAAGAATGCAGCAACAACTATGGGGGTTCTGTGTAATTGCCTTATCGCTGGTGCTGGTCAATGCGCAGGAAGATCTCTTTGTTGACATTACCATTCTAGAAAGTGCGGTGAAAAAAGGAGCAGGTAATTAAAACATTTTTATTTATTTTACCATTGATGAAGTGGGACAACTAAGGGATTTTCCTAGAAAGTGTTATAAAAAAGATGAATTTTTTTTGTCAGAAATGTGATAAGTCAGAAATTAGCCTGATTTTAATTATAGTTTTGTGAGAAGTTTTTTTTATGGAAGTTATGAATTAAAGTTGCACACTTTATATATACATAATTTAAAACAATTCTGCTTGCAGTTTGTTTGGATGGGAGCCCACCAGCATATCATCTTCATAGAGGCTGTGGTACTGGCATCAACAATTGGTTAATTCAATTAGAGGTTGGTTTTATTTTTACTTTGGGCGCGTTTGGTATTTAGTGGTTAGCGGGTTGTGCATAGCGGATTCAGTCAGCGAGTTTGACTATCAGAATAAGTTGACAGGTTGTCTGAAAATGTTTGGTAATTTAACTGTTTGACCATAAAATTAGTACAAAACACAATATTTCAAAACGTTAACTCGAAACTCTCATATTTGTAGCGTTTCCATTTCAACATTTTCTTCCAAAAACGCCAGTGTCGAACATCTACTACTTACCAAACATTTTTTTTCATTTATTGAAAACGCTGAAAGTGGTCAAACCGTCATTTTTCGGCTGAAACGCCATTTACCAAACACCCCCTTTATCTCAAGCGTTTTCATTTTAAAGGAGCCTCATTCGATCTCTTAGAAATGCTAAATAGTAAACAAGTTATGTTCTTCTTCTGTCCCGTAGAGAAGTTCTCACACGATTTACGATGTTTGATTAATATAAATTAAACCGATCTCTGTCTGTAAATAGATTTTTTTAATAAATAAAATTTACATGTTTGGAATTATAAAATCGCAAACAAAACTCCAATTTAGTTGAAAGTGTTTTGTCACTAAAACAAGGCAATGAATTGGAATTTTCCTCATATAATTTTGATGGAATTGGTATCACACTCCAACACACTATATATGATTCTCTAACACAAATTGTTGCATTTGTTTTATACAGGGGGGAGGATGGTGCGAAAACGTTACAACTTGCATGCTTCGAAAGAGAACCCGTTTAGGATCCTCCAAATATATGAATTTAACTCTAGCTTTTTCAGGAATTTTACACAACAACCCTCATTTTAACCCAGGTTACAATTAATTACTACTAGTAATACGCCAAACTAACATTAATATCGTCAACGATTCATTTAAATTCCTTGATTATATTATTATAACTATTTACTATTATTACATTATAAATTATTAAATATTATCATTATAACTTAATTAATGTACTTTTCATTGATATTGTTTGCTACTTGTAGATTTTTTCAACTGGAACAAAGTGAAAGTTAGATATTGCGATGGTGCGTCTTTTACCGGGAACGCCCAGTTTGTGGATCGGGTAAAAAACCTAGCTAATACTCCATTTATGACTCTAGCTAAGTCATGTTATTTTATTCGTATTGGTTATATTAATGAAATTGGGCTATTTATGAGTAAAAATAGTGTATTTTCTTAAATAAGAACATTTTATTCTTTCTTAAATAGGAATGATTACGCCTTATAATTAATACCTAGGTGTGTAACAAATTTTCAATTTTGAATGTCCACACTAGGTTTTATATTATGTTAGTAATACTTCCATATTGATGACTGATAATGAGATATATGACGATACAATTTTCCACTATATTTTACTCCCTCTGTCCCATTTTACCTGTCCTATTTTCCTTTTTGGTTTGTTCCAAAATTAAGGGCCTGTTTACTAACAGAAATATTTTCCAGTTTTCCAGAAAACTGGAAAACTGGAAAACTGGAAAACAGGAAACGTGTTTACCAAAGAAATTCCTGGAAAACTGGAGAAAGGAAAAAAGAAAAACGCGTTTACCAAATCGTTTTCCAAAACGGAAAAAATGAAACATGTCTCTCTTTTCCTTAATGATTTGGAGAAGTGACTTTTACTAGTTTTCCAAATTTGGAAAGCGCAGATGCTACAGTTACTTTGCAATGAATTTGCATACTTACACCTAGTGGTGGGTCCGGTCCCGCTCCGATGTCGATTCCATTCTGGTACCTCCATCCTCGTACCTTACCCCTTACCCCTACCCTACCCTACCCACCCAACCCCCACCCCGCGTACCCATTTTTCCCTATAATGACCTTACCCCACCACATGCCCCGACCTCGGCCCCACCCCGATCCACCCTACCCTACCGCCACCCCCTACCACCTCGACCCCACCTCGATCCACCCTACCCTACCGCCACCCCCTACCACCTCGACCCCACCCCGACCCACCCTACCCTACCCCCACCCCTCGTATATTACCACTTACCCCTACCTTACCCCTTACCACATGCCTCCTACCTCGGCCCCATCCTGGTCCCGACCCCACCCTACCGCCATCCTATCCCAACTCCCTACCCCTACCTTACCCCAACCCCAAACCCCACCCACTACCCCCACCCTTACCGCCATCCTACCCCTTCCCTACCCCGGCCCCACCCTAGTCCTGACCCCACCCTACCGCCATCATATCCCAACTCCCTACCCTACCCCTACCCCTACCTTACCCTAACCCTACCCACTACCCCACCCTTAACCCTAACCACGACCCTAACCCACCCACTACCCCCCACCCAACCCCCTACCCCTAGACCTTACCACCCCACCCCGACCATACCCCTTACCCTACCCCCCACCCATAACTTCCCTACCCGACCCCTAAGAGTAGGTATGGGTGGGTATGAAGGGTTGTGGTGGAGTATGGGTAGAGTGTAAGATCGTGGTAAGGGTAGAGGTAGGGGTCAAGGGTGTGGAATTGGAGAACCGTGTGAAAAAATTGATGAGCATGTTTTCAAATTTGAAAATGGAAAACTAAAAAATAGAAACAGAAAATTGGAGATAGAAAAACTGAAAAATAAAAACAGAAAATTGGAGAACGAAAAACAGAAGTAGAAAACAGGAAAATATCTCTGTTAGTAAACAGGCCCTAAATGTCTCATTTTTTCTTTTGGAAAGAATTATGTGGCCTACAACATTTGATTCTATTATACTCAAATCTCAATCACAAATTTTACTTTTTCAATCAGTTTCTTGATAATAGAGTGTCAAGTCATAGTGAGACACATAAAATGGGACGGATGTAGTACAATATATCACGAAACTTAGCATTCATATTTATCAGGGTCGTCTAATGAATTTGGAGGCCGTGGTTCCAAATGCAAAATTGAGAGCCCGTTTGGCAGCACTATTTTCGACTTATCAGCTCTATCAGCCAACTTTTTCACCAAACACGTAACCTTACTTTTTCACCAAAAAAGTAAGGTTGAAGTTACTTTTCTGGCTGTATTGACTGTAGATTACTTTTCTATAATGTTTTCTTTATTTTATTAATAAAATATATTTTATTTTATTTTCCTTAAATCAGCAGAATCAGCCAATGCAGCCACTTCAGACAGAACTTCATAAATTTCAGCAGAATCAACCAAAACTACCGATTTTCATGCTACCAAACGGGCTCTGATGAGGCTCCATATATGGAGTATGAAAAAAACAAAACCACATGTAATAACACAAACTGTGGTTTTATCCAACTGTTCATATAGAAAAAAGACATGATTTAAAATAACTACTAGTACATATTAATATTATACTCCGTACAATATAACTATATTATTATACTAATATTAAAAAAATTGGGGGCCCCAATTTTGGTGAGCCCTTTTCCGGATGGCATTTTGAACTTGCCAAAAAACGGCCCTGATATTTATCCACCTTATTTTTTACTCTCTTGGGAAATATCTGGTTAAATCAGTATTGTTAGTCAAATTGTATCTTTGTAATATTATTTTCCCTAATAATTAAACATCATAGTTCATTTCATGATATATTTCCTCATGTATATCCAAGTATTCAATCTTGGCTCCTTAAAATTTATTTTATTGAGGGAAGAGTACTTCCTCATTTATTTATGATATTTATCATTACACAACATTTATATATTTTAATTCAAGCACTGATAGTGTTTGTCCATATATGCATATCCTCATTTTCCAGGAGACCAATCTTCATTTCCGAGGAGCTAGGATTTTCCAGGCTATAATGGATGACTTGTTAGCGAATGGGATGGACAAAGCCGAAAATGTAACTTTTATTTATTTGTTTGTTCGTTCGTTCATTTATTCATTCATTATGGTGAATCTAATAATAGTTAATAATGTATCCATGCATATATGAATCATCCTCCGATATTAAAAATTGTGCGAATTCAATAGAAATGGAACATAGAGAATGTTCTAAAATGAGAGTAACTATATATTGTATTTATAAAATAGTTCAAATAAAAGAACAATAAATGACCTAGAAGATTTTTTAATAATAATTTCCTTTTCATTTCGAACTACTACGGGGTAAATCCATTTCAGGCAAAGTATGTACGAAGTATTAAAAAAGTATTATACTCCGTATGATTCAAGGCTATTTTATTTGAATAATAGTGCATTGAAGGGGCGGCTAAGAAATGAATCCACTAATTAATATTGCATGCATGCCTTGGCACGTAGGCAATTCTGTCTGGATGCTCAGCTGGAGGATTGGCATCAATTCTGCATTGCGATAAATTCAGAAAATTATTTCCAAGGGAGGCTCGAGTAAAATGCTTCTCAGATGCAGGTTTCTTTATTAATGTGTAAGATTTCAGTCTTGGCTTGGCTTGGTAGGAACCATTACTAGCGTCTAGAGAAGTTAAGGGCCTCTTTACTGATATTTTCCAGTTTTCCAGAAAATGGAAAACTGGAAAACAGGAAACGTGTTTACCAAAGAAAATTGCTGGAAAATTGGAGAAAGGAAAACAGAAAAACGTGTTTACCAAATTGTTTTCCAAAACGAAAAAAATGAAACATGTCTCACTTTTCCTTAATGATTTGGATAAGTGACTTTTACTAGTTTTCCAAATTTAGAAAACGCAAATGCTACAGTGCCGATGCAATGAATTTTCATACTTACACCTAGTGGTGGTTCCGGCCCCGCTCCGATGTCGATTCCATTCCGTTACATCCATTCTTGTACCTTCCCCCTTACCCCTACCCTACCTACCCTACCCCCACCCCGCGTACCCCTTTTCCCTACAATGACCCTACTCCACCCCTACCTTGGCCCCACCTCCGATCCACCCTACCACCCCTACCACCTTGACCCCACCCAACCCTCCCTACCCTACCCCCACCCGTCGTATATTACCCCTTACCCCTACCTCACCCCTTACCACATGCCCCCTACCTCGGCCCCACCCTCCCACCCTACCCTTCCCTTACCTCAGCTCCACCCTGATCCTGGCCCCACCCTACCGCCATCCTACCCCAACTCCCTACCCTACCCCTACCTTACCCCAACACCCACTACCCCCACCCTAACCCCGGCCTAACCACGACCCTAACCCACCCACTACACCACCCAACCCCCTAGATCTTGCCACCCCACCCTCGATCATACCCCACCCCGACCCCGACCTCGACGAGTAGGTATGGGTGGGTATGAAGGGTTATAGGGGAGTATGGGTAGAGTGTAAAATAGTGGTAAGGGTAGGGGTAGGGGTCAAGAGTGTGGAATTGGGTATAGGGTGAAGGGTGGGGGTACGAGGTATAGGGGCGGGGTAAGGGTTGGAGGTATGGGTACATGTACGAGGTGATCGACCCACATATTATATTATATATTTGTGTTTGTGAATGTTTGTGTGTATATATATGTATAGGGTTATTTTGGACATTTTTATGTTAAACGGTGTTTTAAACCTTTTGAAGTAAACATGATCTTACAACATTGCTTATTTTATACGCCGCTTATTAACGCAGGTCTTAATAAGCACCATTTAGTAACCCGTGAAATAAACGTGTCCTCAGTCTTATGGATGATCACAGAACTGGGTGAAAAAATTGATGAACATGTTTTCACATGCATTTGAAAATGGAAAACTAAAAAATAGAAACAGAAAATTGGAGATAGAAAAACTAAAAAATAAAAACAGAAAACTGGAGAACGAAAAACAGAAGTAGAAAACAGGAAAATATCTCTGTTAGTAAACAGGCCCTAACATTTTGTAAATTTAATTAAACATACCTAGTATTCCTATTTCCTACTAAAATCTTTTTTCAAGTATGATCCATATTTTTTTAGTTGAAAAATATGAACCATTCAATCTTAGGAAAACAATTATTATTATTTGTTTAGAAGTTTGAATTGAATCCTATTTTTTTTTTAGAAAATAAAGGTGTTCTTATTTGTATACTTGTATGCCAATAGCTAGAAGTTTTACTTTGATATGAAAAAAGATCATTTTAAATACGGAGTGTAAGTTATAGAATAACTATCTAATTCACTTTTAGCATAAAGCTATAACTTGTTGTATCCTAGATTTATCCTATGTTTTTACCATGCATAAGAAAGTGCGATGGTATTTTTGCAAGTGAATTGATTTCCCCTCTACCAATTTGAACTATCAATTACCTTGATTAGAAATGCGCACTATCATCAACCGAACTTTACATAGTTAACATCATTCACATTTCTCACCCAAATTATCGTTCTCGATCAATTAGGTGTGGATACATTCCGGGGGCCGGGTCCAGCCTGATCCAGAATCGGGTCCTGTACTATTTGAATTGGACTCGGACTGGGTCAACTTTTGGGTGCCTGGACTTAAGATCGGCCCTGTCCGGTAGGTTTGGGTATCCGGTCTTGAGTTACCTGTTGTGGGACCGAAGTGAGCGATCATGCATGATCCCACTTTGGATCACAACGATTATTTCTTTTTATTTTGGACCAATTAAAAAAAAAATTAATAGGATCAGAATTGGTACCCGGGCCAACCGGGTCCGGGAATCGGCCTGGGCCAACGGGTTTCGCAAAACCGGTCCGAAACCTTAAATAAACGGGTCAGGCCCAGGCTCCACTACCATTTGGCAAGGATCGGGCAGTCTCGGCCCGGAACTGGGACCGGACCGACCCGGGTCCGTGTCTTTACTCAATAGAATTGAACGAGATTCTATATATGTGTTTGTGACATTAATTTGTGTCAATATGTTTTCACTTTAAGTTAGTAGGTATATTAATCATTGTTATGATGACGTAGCTAGCTAGTTTTTCCATTACAGGAAGGACATATCTGGGGAGCCATCACTTGAAAAGTTCTACACTGATGTAGTTAAATTACATGTGAGCATCGAAATGATTCAGCTATGTCGTTCTGTTTTAATATTTGATAGAGTATTAATTCTAGAGAGAAGTGAGAGCTAGAGAGAGAGTGAATAATTATATTTCTCAACCCCCTATAACTAGCCCCAAGGGGTCTATTTATAGGTAAAAATGTGGATTTGGGCTCCTAGCCATGGACTTAGGAGGCCCAGTACAATAATCATGCCTTCTTTGGGCGAAATAGGGCCACTAATGGGCTGAGTACAATACTTAGTAAATAAAGTAGAGGGATGTATTCTGCCAGGACGGAGTCTGGCCGATGCGGTGCACTTTGGCCGATGCGGTCCCATGGCCGATGCGATCCATGGGCCGATGCAAACCCGGGAGCCCAGTTGCGTATTCTGGGCCGATTCGGTTTCTGGCCGATGCGGACCCCACTGGGCCGAAGGGGGCCGCGTGGGTGTCCTTCTGGTCATCGTTGACTTGAGTGTGTGGGCCATGGGGTCCAGGCCCATATACTCTATCAATATTTATTTAGCAGATTGGGGTTATATTAGGAAAATAGTAGTGGCAGAGCCACGAAAATGATTTAGAGGATCGGAACTTCCCCAAATACATAATAAAGAGTACATCATATTTAAGCAATATCTAAGTTGAATTTTTCATACTTAACTTAGATAAGAGTAGTTTAAATGAGACTAACATATAGAGTTATGAATTTGATATATATATATATATGTCATATTCATTATAGACTTCACATAGGTAATAAGTGAATAGACGTTATTTTTAAAATTTCAGAATATAATCATTATCCACATCAAACTTTACTTATTTAAAGTTTAGAGCATCTCCAATGCATGGAAGTTTAGAGCATCATTGAACTTTCAGAATATATTCAAACTTTACTTAATAATGCCACATCATTAAACTAGACATTGACTTATTTTATCACCCTCGAATGCTAAAAATAAGTAAACACTGTGAAGCATCCTTGGCATCCTTTCTAAATTCGAACGTCCTTCCAAACTTGCTGACTTATCAAAAATAAGTATTGCATTAAGTATGCTCTTAGATGGTGCGTATTTTCCCGTAGTCATAACTTTTTACCCGTAATAAATTATGAGAGTCATAATATATCAAATCGAATGTATTTGAATGCTCTATATTTCTCAAAATTTCGGGGCTCGAATGACCACCCTGCCCCCCCCCCCCCCATGGCTCCACACATGACACTCACACACACATGTGATCGATTTTCTTTGTCTGTCAATATGTGTGATTATGTGCACTCTTGGCATATTGTTAAAAAATGTTGAATCCCCAATGCTAAGAGCTCTACAACTCCCGTCCCGATAGAGCATGCATATGAGGAAGTTGTAAATCACGATGTTTCAATCGGTCATAATGATGAATTGATGATAGACCTTATATACTTGAGCGTACCAGAGGTTCAGTCCAACACATAGAAGTTGCGATCCCATACAACAATTGCGGGGTTCGATTAGTGATCATTGCCCAAACGTTCTCGTCACTTTACCAACTGAGCTACCTCACTCTACCCTTGCGGGTTGTGCATTTGTGGCACATGGGTGTATTTTCCGTGACAAAAAAAATTAGTCCCATAAAAGCTTGACTTACAAACTCAGAGATGACCATGAATAATGAATATATCTCTCACATGACTTTCTTTTATTCGTATTTACAAAAAACTGAGGTCAACTTTTAAGTCTTCAACTCTGGAGGAAGTTTAATTTCCTTAGAAACTTGCATTTACATGAGGGAATTATTGAAATTTCGCGTTACTAATTAATTCATTGATGGCAAAATGGTGTTTACTTTTTCTTGTAAACGATTTTGTTCGGATGGAAAAATTCTTGCCGTTCATTTGGATTTTGTTTCAGGTTTCTGCGAATAATTTGCCCAAGTCATGCACCTCAAAGCTAAAGGCAAGCTTGGTAAGAAAAATGTTTACACAAATGCTAAATGTACCCATTTGGTACCTCATTTGTACCATATCCCCTATGTGTGGTTCACAAAAACACTGCATTAAAATGCACGAGTATCAATTAATTTAATGTGTTGAACTTTTGTGAACCATATATTGAGTGAGGTACAAATGGGGTATCCCAAAATTGGGTACCTCAAATGTTTATATACGTACACCGACACATCTTTAAGTGATGTACCCCGTACGAATTTGTATATATTCTTTACAAATGACAATGGAAATGGTAAAAATGAGATCATACGATATTGGGATAAATGAGCTATATCTATAGATTACTACCTTATCCCGCTGAAAGATTTCTATTATAAAATGACACGATTGAATACGTAATATAATGGGATCAAACGTTTATGATAACTGTGATGTTATTGATACTTTATTTTTGATATTTGATAATTAATTTGTTATTCAAGAGTATTAATTATTTTCTATAATAGAAATCAGAAACTTTATATGAGACATCTAAAAAAGGAAAATAAAGACATTAGTCAGACGAGAGAGTACTAACTAATAAAATTAAATGGAATCTTTTGTTGTGGTTTAATTTAGCTTTTTTTAACTAAATAATTTGACCTTTTCTCATGAATATTACTAAATTAAATTAAAAAAATAAAAATATGACTTATTTTAAAAAATTTCAAAAAAGTGACATTGCATATTTAGTGACTAGTTCACAGTGACTCGTCATCTAAAGTGACTTGTCATTCTAAAATACACTATAGTTACTCGTACACAGTACCTAGTTATATTTTTTTCAAAAACATAACTAGTCATATTATTGTCTGGGAAAGCTCTATTACTAGTATACATGTCATTCTTTCATAAAATGTGTACATTTTGGTAGTTTGTATAATTATTGATGAGGGTAAATGTTAAAATAAATTTGCAGTGTTTCTTCCCACAGAATGTAGCTCCAGACATTACAACACCATTGTTCCTGATAAACGCAGCTTATGACACTTGGCAGGTTTGAATATATAATTGAAAAGTTGCACCTCCAACATTTGTTTCGGATTATTATGTTATGCTCCCTCCATCTCACAAAAATCTTTGTTTTTGACTTTTTTAGTCATCTTCAAATTAGGCCAATCATATTCTTAATATTAAATTTTCCATGATATGAAAATGATATGTGAAAAGGGAAAACTGTCAAATAGGTCTTCGAACTTTCATAAAAAGGTCAATTAAGTCCTTCTATAGGAGGTTCTGTCCGGCCGTCGCGATTTGGGGCAGTTCCTGGTGGAATTTTTTGATGAATTTGTTTGAGCATCTTATTCACCAAGTCTAGTTTACTCATACCAAATTTCAGCTAAAAATTCAATTGGGAACACATTCAAATTAATTCTTGAAGATAACTGTGCATTTTTGCGTTCTCGAATTAATTTGAATTCGCTCCTGATAAAAGTTTTAGTTGAAATTTGGTATGAGTAAACTAGACTTGATGAATAAGATGCTCAAAAAAATTCATCAAAAATTCCACCAGGAACCGCCCCAATTCGCGACGACCGGACAGAGTCTGCTATAGAAGGACTTAATTGACTTTTTTATGAAAGTTCGAGGACCTATTTGACAGTTTTCCCTATGTGAAAATTTTCATAAAAGCATTTAATATTGTCTTCGTCTCATAAAAAAATTCGTGTCAACTATTTTCCGGTCAACATAAATTGTTCTTGATCATTTATTTTATATGATCAACTTTTATCAAAGGCTAAAGGGTTAAATAGACCCTTGTACCGGTCGTGTAAGTTCAATTCAGTCCCTGAACTAAAAAAGGTTTAATTCACACCCCGAACCGACAAAAAATAGTTTAAAATTCATTTTTTACGGATAAACAACCAATTTTTTTTTACTGGTTTCTGTTTTTCATTTTTGATTTATTGCAATTTTGACACTTTTTAATAGTTTAAGGGGCGAATTGGATTTTTTTTACCGGTTGTTCAATCTTAAAAAATTAAATTCAAACCCATTTTTTGTCGGTGCAGGGTGTGAATTGGACTTTTTTTTAGTTCAAATTTTACCATGTGGCCCATGTCCTATCAAGAAAGTCAAAGATGACACTTGTGTGACGGGGAATACTATTTAAGGAGATTTCCCAAAATAGAAGTAAATGGAGTTCAGAATTCCGTAATGGAACTACTATATTTTTTGTTTCGAAATAGGACTAATATGACAGTATTTACTGTCATTTTGTAGGCATGACTGGCACTACTGTGCATTTAAAATGACAGTATTTATTTTACTTAATGACAATATTCAATCATGACAATATTTTTCATATATGACAGGAAGAACTCTTATTTCGAGAAGAAAAATATAGTAGTCCTATATTAGAATTCCAAACCTCATTTATTCTTATTTAGGGCAATTTCACTGCTATTTATTCACATATTAAACATTTTGAACAATAATTTTAATTGAAAAAACATAAAATACAGATCAGAAACGCCTTGATTCCAAGTGCAGCCGATCCATCAGGAAAGTGGAAAATGTGCAAGACTGATATACGCCATTGCTCTGTTAGCCAACTCAACACTATCCAAGGTTAATAATTCAAATCACATAAATGCTTCTAATGCTTATTTCATCAGTACTATGCATGCATATATTGATGATAGATCAGACACATTTGTTGCATATATGCATGCAGATTTCAGATCAGAGTTTTTAGCCGCTTTGAAGGGATTTAAGTATTCTCCAACGAGTGGAAGTGGCGGTGGGTACTTTATCAACTCTTGCTTTTTGCACTGCCAAACTGAATTACAAGAGCTCTGGAACATGCCTTCTTCTCCAATGTTACTTCAAAAGGTATATAATTGAAGACAAAACTACATTTTAGAACTGAAACATGCCGTTTTTGTATAAAAGCCATGAAAAGATTAAGAACCGGTGGGCGTAGCTCAACTGGTAGCGAGAGAGTGCCACAAGGGTTAGGTCTCGGGTTCAAATCCCGGCAACTACGATGAGGGGTTACTATGTTGAAAAATGCATAGGGCCTCTGTAAGTACCGGGGACAGAGCCCCACTCTCTATCTGTCAGATTGTGATTATAGTCCAATTTACATCCTCCCATCGTGCCGTCCGGTCGGTGTTGGGGGGCCCTCAGGGATGGGGTGTCATCCTTTTTTTTATGAAAAGATTAAGAGTCCGTTAGGAGCAAAATAGTGTGATATCTCTCAAAATAAGAGTACTACTCCGTATTTTCTTAAAATACAAGTAAATTATTGCTATATTTATATACTGGCATATTTTAACATTATATCATAATACTAAGGAAAAATTGAAAATAATAATCTCAACTATTGCTGGTCCGCTAACAATAATCTCAACTATTGGTTATTTTTGTATAATCCCAACTATTGGACCGTCCGCCAATAATGGTCCATGACCGGATATTACCTGCTATAACAGGTGAATTTTAATAGAAATTAAGCGTGAAAATTAAAAGTTGGGATTATTTATAGGGATTACTTGCTATATCTCTTATCATCCACTTTAAAAACAATAGGAATTTATTTATAACCGGTCACGTCGGACCATTATTGGCGGAAGGTCCCTACAGTTTGAATTATTCTGAAATAATAATCGATAGTTAAGATTATTATGAGCGGATCGCTAATAGTTGGGATTATTACTATCAATTTTTCTTAATATTAATATGTCAGTATTAATATCATGCATATTTGACAGTATTGCAAAATGACAGCAAATTCTGTAAAGATAAATTGTTACTATTACGTAGTACTCCGTATTACGTAATATAGAACTGTTGGTAGTAAAATGTACATTGCATTACTCAACTGTTGAATTATATTGTTGGAGACTTGGAGTGTTTTGATGAAGCAGACGATAGCGGAGGCGGCAGGAGATTGGTTTTTTGACAGAAAGATTTTTCGAAAGACAGATAGCCCTTATCCGGATGACAAGAGTTGTTCAATGCCACAACTAGTTCCTTAATTCAATCTTGATTAATTGTTTCAGTATTCATTCAATTCGAAAACCAAACATTCCGGCCCAGCTGGTTATGAGGTTACCGTGCCTAGTGGGAGGTCTCGAGTTCGAAACCCGCTAGGCACATAACTACATAAGGGTTTGAAACTCAATGAAATAAGTTTCAGCCTCAGATTACTTCAGGCCTCCCGACACCCTCATTCAATTCGAAGTATACCTTACTTTAATTTAGGACCATTAATTATATACGTAGTAATTTATTTTGTGTAAGTGCACACATACAGAGTATATTATATACGGAGTATATTACTCCTATTTCTTTCAAAAAATATAGTGTCCTATTCATAAATTAAATATGAAATGATGATACTATTAATGAAAGTTAGCATAGCTTTTATTGTTTAGTAATTGCTCTAAGTAAGACCAAAAATAACTAAAAGAGCACAAATAGAACCATTACATTTTTTTACCATCCAAAATAGGACTAAACAAATTCAGCATACCCAAAATGCCCCTAAGGGTATTATTTCAAGACTTCTTAGCGCCATCCAGGGTTCGAATCTCCTTGGAGGAGATTTTCTAACTAAAAGTGAGAATAATGGAATACGTGGACTAAAGTAAAAAAAAGAAAATGTAAACAAAATTAATATGGGAAAGAAAGAGTGAGGATGACTTGCTATTGAATGTCACTTTCGGGGGTTTTGACTCAATTGACTGTTTTTTGAAAGTAGATGGACTTATATAGTGCTTTTTATAGTACATGGGTTTAAGTGACTAATTTGCAATTGTACAAGGGTATATTTGACCCTTTTTCTACAAATATTTGGTCTCACCCGTGGTTACGAGATAAGATTAACCCTTATCGAGTCTTGCCTACTAACTCACTGCTTGCAAACTCTACACTTGCTAACCTTTTCCATGAGCGATCTAGTGACCAGGATGAGGATTTAATTATGGAGAATTTCTCCCGAAGGGACGCTAACTGTACTTATGACTAAAATAAAGATTGTTTACAAAAATATGACTAGTGACAAGAGTAGTAATGAAATCACAGTAATTTATGTTAAAATTTTAAACTTAAGTTACTATGACACTATATTGTACTACGTAGTAATTATATTGTAGTAACTATTAGTAATATTTGGGCGCGCGGATTGAAAATTTTTCCTTTCCAAGGCTACAAGATTACGTGGGAAAGGTGGTGGGGGTCCTCAAATGTGGTGGATGAGAAGTTAGATAAAATTCTTGTCTCAGAATATTGGTTGGATATATTTTGGCAGTGCGGTAGCGGAATCATCGGAGGAGGCACCAAGTGATCATTTAGCTTTGTTTATCAAGCTAATTCCATATATCCCGAATATTTTCAATCGGTGCAGTACATTTAAGTTCGGGAACTTTTGGCTTAGGGATGAAGACTGCCGCTCTATTGTGGCCAGAAGTTGAAGTTTGGGTGCTAGTTCCTACTTCCTATATTGGGGCAAATTGGTATCTGTTTCAAATCAGTTGGGGATTGGAGCGGAACTGCAGCAGGTTCTCTGGGCAAATGGATTCGGTTTTGCCGAAAGCGTTTGGAGTATCTACGTAAATTCTCGGATGATTGGCACGCGAGTGTCTTGTAGAAGTTGAAGCGGGAATATTTTGACCTTCTAGAGTAGGAGAATATATTTTGGAGGCAAAGGGCGAAGGAGTTTTAATTTGGTTCAAAGGTGGTGACCTTAATACTCGGTTTTTTCATAACTCAGTGTAACAACGGCAGAGGAAAAATAGAGTTGAAGAATTTTGGCTTGAGTATGGTGGGTGGGAGACTGACAGGGCGGAAGTTGATTGTCTAATTGGCGACTATTTTGTCGAGCTGAAGATCAGATTGACGGAAGAGGGATGAGGGTTTGGGAGGAAAGAAGATTCCCAATCGATGACCAAATCGATCCTTGGGAGATATGCTCGGGAGGATTGTGCCGTGACTGCAGCCGGTATTGGGGCTAACGAGACAGAACGTCGTTTCATTCGGCTCTCGTGTCACAGCGTCGGCCGATAAGATGGACCAATCGGTGGTCTCCGAGTCGGGACAAACGGTGCTTCCGATACAGAGCAGCAGAAGGGCGACCCAGGTTCAACCCAGCGAGCAGCGAGAGAAAAGAGAGCAGGAGTTGCTTCCCAAGACAGAGGGAGTCTGATGTCTCCGGTTCCAGACCAGTGAAACGGCTTAGGTCTCCGATTCAGCGATGGAACGGTGGGTTTGGACGGAAAAACCTAGTGGGTGACGCTACGGATCAAACAACCATATTTAGAACGACGGATTTGGTTTCAACAGATGATTTTGACGGGTTTGATGTCTCAATTGAAAGCAAACTTTTTTGTTTTATAATTATTGATACTACTATTCGCATATCTGAAACAAAGTTTGGCATTTCATCTACTATAGACATTGATTTTGCTAGAGCTAATTGGTTGAGGGATTCTATTCCAAAGCTCTTTTCTGGAAATCCTAGATTAGAACTGGATAAATCTCTCTACTTTTGTTATGATATCAATTTCTTTGGTGGTTTTATTCGCCTCATTCAGAGGGGACGTGATACTTTATTCATTCTAGAAGGGAGAAATGGCTTGGGGATAAAACTTTTTTTTTTTTAAGGAATTACATGAGTTATTGTTGCAATGAAAAAATAGCTGATGATCAGCCAAAACTATCAAATGAATGTGCGACAGGTAAGGTTTTGCTAGATAATGTGGCGTCGAACAACTGTGTGCTGGATTTTCTGCCTCTGGATGATATTAATCCACCCTCCTATGAGAATGAGCCTTCCATTTCAGGAGCCTTGCTTCAATTCAATATTGAGCAATCTTCATCTTGGAATAATTCTCTTGATGAGTTGGTTTCTATTGATCCCATAGCAGATGAATCTGTAAATCTAAGGGAATTCTTTCAAACTACTTTGGGGAATGGAGATGAATCACTTTCTCATTTTCTACTTCATGAATTTGAGAGACTCATTAACTCTGCTTTGGATAATCGGGATAATTTGATTGTGACACAATCTCTTGAAAACGAAGCTACTAGAAAGGAGATTCTTACTTAGACAGATGATAGGGAGTTTGGAGATTCAGAATCCGATGATTTAATGTTTTTTTCTGAAGCTTTTGTTGACGAAGAAGTTTATGGGGATCCTTACTCTACACCTGTGAGGGATGAATTTCTTGGTCATATATCTCAGAGAACGAGAAAAGAATTCCTATTTCAACGGTGGGGGGTCTATGAGATTCAGATCCAAATCAGGATATTTGCTACAAAGCTATGTTAGTAACGCGAGATAACTGCTTGCCTACTGATATGTGTGAAAACACCCAATACTTTCTCATAAATATGGTCTTTTTTTGTTAACATTTGAAGATTTTTCCCCCATTTTGGTTAAACTTGTGCAATATTTTGGTTGTAGGAACCACGTGAAGGATTTGAGCGTTGTATGGGTGAAAACCGAACATTTTGAAGAGTCTCGGGAGCATAAATGAATGATTTGAAGACCCTCGAAACCAAGCGGAGCACAAGGAAGAAAGAAACGAAGATGTCAGAGGTGTTTCGGGGAAGGCAGCCTTGGGAACGCCATAGGGAACGACGTTCCCCCTAGCGTTCCCCTGTATTGTACACCAGATTGTCAATTCAAAGTCCCGGGTGTGGGAACGCTAGAAGGGAACGGCGTTCCTGTCAGCGTTCCCTAGAGAACGACGTTCCTTTTTCGTTCCTCCCAGCGTCGAACTCTCTGCCAACCGACTGTTTTGTTTTGTTAAGGGTAGGAACGCCTATAGGGAACGCCGTTCCTTCCCGGCGTTCCCCCATTTGTATAAATAGCAACCTTGTTCAAATTATCATAGTTTTGGAAGAGCTCTCTTCTTGCAAACCCTAGTTTTGGTTGTAAGCTTGCTTAAACTAAATTGCACTTCATTTCTTAATATCATTTGCATCAAATCTTGAATCTAGCTTCATTTAATTCATTAGATTGCATCATTATCATATTTCCCTAATCTCATCCATTGATCTCACTTCATGTCTATGTCTAATATCACTTCTATGAATATGAAATCTAGCATGAGTGAGTAGTTGGATTAGGGATTGGGGTGTTTGAGGAACATCCTACCATGTGATGTGTTAGGTTTCGGGGTTTGATTTGGGGGTATTTGAGAAATATTTTATTCACACAATGTGTTTGTGAAAATGCTTCTTTGTATTTCTAAGACTTTGATGGCCCCAATGTTCTTAGATGATGTTTTGGATCCTCAAGGAGACTTGTAGGGTTCCCTTTGACACATTCACACACACACACTACCTTCTCTCCATGAGAATGGGAGAAAGTAGGGGAATAAATTGTTGGTTGGTTTTCTTTGCATGACTTTGGATTGCTATTGGACCATGAGAATGGCCAATAGGACTCCCTTGACCATGAGAGTGGCAAGGGAACTTGTACCTATCCCTTTGTTGCATGATATATTCCCAAGTATCCCCATTTGGACCCCTTATCCTTAATCATAGGTTGTTCCTTGTATGCCCCCGCTTCCCTTCTAGTTTAATTTCTATTTACCCCCATTGTAATTTAGTTGTTCTCTTAAACTAAACATACTTCGAACTGGCTAGCTTACATGTTAGATTTCTAGATTTATTTCACACTTGATTTTCCATATACACCGTCCCTTGAGACAATATCTGGGACTTCCATATCCCGACACCCGATGAGCATTATTGTGAAAATGACTCATCACCTACACAAAATTTGAACACTCAAAAGGGGATGTATAGCAAGAAGAAGCAGTGATCACACCTTATGAGGACTGGATCTCAAACACGACTGGAGCTCTAATGATTTGACGGAGGGCTTGAGTTTTTGTTATTTATTAGGGAGGGGTCTCATGCTACTCTTTGGGTTGGGTGTTTATTTTATTTATTTACGCTTTTTCTTACCGTCATTTTTCTTTTCTTTTTTCGTTTCTTTTTGTGTACTTTCATCTCGTTTTTTATAAAATTTCTTCTTAAAAAAATGGCGGCTATTTTGCTAATATTTTTTCTTCTATGCATAATACAAGTGATTTTGTTTTCCGATGTGTGTCCAGGAAATTGGAGGATTCCCATAACATTAATCTTTTGAGACCCATTAGTGGGTAGAGGTAGGGTTGTAAACGAACCGAACCGAATCGAATAATGAGATTTTGTATTTGTATTTGTTTAATTTTTTCGAATATGAATTCGAATTGAAATATGAAACGAATATTAATTTCGATTTGTATTTGTATTTGTTTAACAATACGAATAATTAACGAATCATATACGAATATCGAATCGATTTAAGCATATGTTAATATTAGTCAAATATCTTTTTAAAATAACTTTTCTTATACTCCGTATTTTTTATGTTGTAAGTGCATGCTATGACTTAATATGTGTTTTTAGAATTTAAATTTAATGGATCCATGCATTTTTACATGGTGCACAATATACTAAAGTGCATTGATTTTATGATTAATAAATATAAATCTATTTCAAACTTTTTGAAATAAATACTAGCACACACAAATTAGAAATTATACTTATAATGTGTGAAATAAGTTGATAATTGTATACATCAAAGTCAAACAACTCAAATTTTATTCTTCAAATCGAATACACAATTATTTGTATTGTATTTGAAAGACATTTGAACTAAAAAATTTGATTTGTATTCATATTTATATTCTGATTTATTACAAATGGATTGAAATTTGTATGCAAAATGTATATATGGACCACACTTTGAGGGTATTGTTATCTTTTAAAATTTATTATGGTGTTATTATTATTATTATTATTATTGATATTTATATTACTTTTATTATTAATCGAATATATTTAATTAATATTCGAATCGAATACACTGATATTCATATTTGTATTTGATAACAACTCGAATCAAATTTAATATTCTTATTTGTATTTGTATTTGAATTTTCCGAATTCGAATCGTCTTATACGAATTCGAATCGCGAATCGAGCACAAATTATTTGATTCGTTTACAACCCTAGGTAGAGGTAAAGATAGATGCTTTTGATATGTTCCCGGACAAATCCCTTGGACTAGATGGTTTAAGTCCAAGATTTTATCAGTATTATCGGGATGTGGTGGGTCCTGATGTCGTCAAGTTTTGTGCTGAGGTTTTCCAGTCAGGTAAACTGCCGGATAAATTTAATCATACTAATATTGTTCTAATTCCTAAGAAGGATGATTGCATTGATTTTTGAGTGTTTATATTTTTACTTTTAATTACTTTTTATGGTGTGTTGTTGTGGTAATTGCACATTTAAGGTGCAATCATTTTATTTTTCTAGTTTGTTGTAATTTAGTAAATTTAGAATCATCTTGAGCAAGAAACAATCAAGAATCAACAAAGGATCATGGAAGGGATCTTACAAGATCAAAGGAAAGTGCAAGGGAACAAGAAATCATGCAAGAAATGTGATTTGGTGACTTACCCGGTCGGGTATAGCCTTTACCCGGTCGGGTATGAAGTGACCCGGGCAAAAAGACGTGCAGAAAACACAAAATCGTGGGCAAAATATTTGATTTTGACAAATACCCGGTCGGGTATCTCAAATACCCGGTCGGGTATCCGGTGCAGCACCTTCAAAACACCTATAAATAGCCCCATTTTCCTTCACTTTTAAGCACTCCTTCTTCCATACTCTTAAGCTCAACTTAGAATAATATTTCTTTTATATTTTTTTAGCATGTTTAGTCTCCAAATGAGGAGCTAAACTTCCATTTCTTGGTGTTGCTCTTGAAGCTTGTTGATTATTAAAGTTGTGAGTTATTTTCTTAACTTCTTCCCTTGAATATTAATTATTCTTTTAATCTATCTATATATTAATGTTGGGGAGTGTTGCTAAGATGACAATTAGTTAACATCTCGACATTAGTTATAGTAGTATTTATTTTCTTCCTCTATATATTAATGTTGGGGAGTGTTGCTAAGATGACAATTAGATAACATCTTGACATTAGTTATAGTAGGATTATTCATATTTAATCTTCTTCCTTGAATATTAATTCTTCCCTTAATCTATCTCTATATTAATGTTGGGGAGTGTTGCTAAGATGACAATTAGTTAACATCTCGACATTAATTACTACTAGAAACGATCAACGAACCGATGGTTAATCGTTGATGGTTTCACAAGTAAGTAACTTTGGTTTATTAATGCACGGTCGTGGTTAATAAACTTAAGAGGGATTAATTTTGTTGGTTAAACCGAAACCGTTGTGTTGAGGTTATCAATCTCAATTGATTTCATCAAGGAGTTAAGAGATTAAATGCTACTACTAAGTCGGTATATGGCGGTGTTCTATACTTGACTAATAGTAAGGGTTATTAATGAACGGTCGTTGTTAATAACTACTCTCGATGAATTGGATATACTCCTCGATTGAGTATTTGAGAGGGGATAAGTTATAGATATAACAATGATCGACTAAAATATATCAACAAGTGGAAAGTAGCAATGCCAAGTCCTTTTTATCTTTGAATTAAATCACATTTAAGTTGTTCATCTTTCTGTTTAATTAAATTAAATCATTCAATCCTAAACCCCCCTTTTATTTACTAGTTCTATAAAAAGAGAATTATTCCTTTCCCTGTGGATACGAACTCTACTACGCTATACTACGTATAAATGTTAGTATTGAATTTATTTTGACGCACCGTGACAAAGTGCTCGTCAAAGGATAACCCGGAGGTTATTGGTGATTGGCGGCCCATAGCTCTTTATAATGTTATTTATAAGTTTTTTCGAAAGTGCTAGCTAATATAGCCTGAAAGCCGTTCTAAATTTGTGCATTTCTAAGTAATAGAGTGCTTTTATCCCGGGTAGATCCATAATTGATAATATTATGATTGCCTTCGAAACTCAACATTTTTTGAAAAGAAAAACTCAGGGTAATACCGGTTATATGTCAGTCTTAAACTGGATATGAGTAAGGCTTATGATAGAGTTGAATGACCCTTTTTGGATGGTATGCTGATTAATTTGGGGTTTGATACACGGTTGGTGAATTTAGTGATGGAATGTGTTCCCACACGTGGTTTGAGACAAGGTGATCCTTTATCACCTTACTTATTTATTTTGGTTGTAGAAGGTTTGAGTGCCTTGTTGAAAGATCACGAAAGGGTGGGCATTTGCATGGGGTGGCGGTTCATGGGGAGGCATAGTTTTTTTAAAGCTACTCATGGGGAGGCATCAGTGGTGAAGGAGGTGCTGAATGATTATGCTCTTGCTTCGAGGCAGGTAATTAATTTATGTAAATCAAAACTTTTTTCAGCATTAATGTATCGGTTGATTGTAGAGAAGGGTTAAAGGAGCTTTTGGGGGTGGATTTGTTTGGTGGCGATGAGTTGTGCTTAGGCTTACCAGCTATTGCTGGCAGAAATAAAAAAGTAATTTTGGCTTATCTACGATAAAGAATGATTACTTGGATCCAAAATTGAAATAATCGTTTTTTTCTTATCTAAGGCTGGGAGGGAAGTTTTACTTACGTCTGTCATCCAAGCTATGTCCACTTATGCAATGAATGTATTTCTGTTGTCTAAGGAATTGTGTAATGAGATTAAAACGCGTATGAATGAGTACATATTGGTAGAAGGGGAAGTCCGGTGTGGGAATTAGATGGAGGAATTGGGACTTTATGTGTCGGCCAAAAAAAGAGGGAGGTTTGGGATTTAAGAAATTTCAGGAATTTAATTTATCGATGCTTGCAAAATAGACTTGGAGAATTTTTTCTGAACCAGAATCACTATTTGGAAAGGTGTACATGTCACGCCCCGGACCTACCGGACACGTCAACAACCCGCTGTACAGTACGAATAGTCAACCGCAGTCCAACTCATCCATACTATACTAGGCGTCTTGAATACCATTCACACATAGTACATCCATAAACAAACATAATGTAAAATATTCATTTAAAGCA